GGCGGCTGACCTCATAATTTTGAAAAATGGTAGACATTTGTCTGCTGATTTCGATATGAACCGATGCAGAGCTGCCACCCTTCCAGTCAGCCTCTGTATATCTTTCACTGATTTCGGCGGTTCCATCTCGGCAATTGCTCTGATCTTCTCTGGATTGACCTCAATTCCCCTTCGGGACACCATGAAACCTAGAAATTTTCCGGACTCCACTCCGAAGATGCATTTGGCTGGGTTTAACCACATCCTGTTCTTTCTGAGGTTGTTAAAGGTTTCGTCGAGGTCGGCGAGATGATCTTCTGCTTTTAGGCTCTTTACCACAATGTCGTCGACATATACCTCCAGATTCTTGCCAATCTGAGCGTGGAAGACAATGGTTACCATTTTCTGATAAGTAGCACCTGCATTCTTTAAGCCAAACGGCATCATGACATAACAATAAATTTCATCGCCAGCATAGAATGCGGTTTTCTTTTCGTCTTCTAGAGCCATTGGCACTTGGTGATACCTCGAATATGCGTCCAAGAGGCTTAACCTCTCATTGCCTGAAGCCGCTTCAACTAACTTGTCAATGCTCGGCATTGGATAGCAATCCTTAGGGCAGGCGTTGTTAAGATTTGTGTAATCAATGCACATTCGCCATTTGCCATTTGCCTTCTTCACTAGAACTGGGTTAGCCACCCATTCACAGTAATCAACTTTCCTGACAAAACCAGCCTGTAGGAGCTTCGTAACCTCTTCTTTAATAGCCTGAAGCCTCTCACCCCCGAAGAGACGCCGTTTCTGGGCCACTGGTTTCTTCAATGGATTGGTGCTGAGCTTATGTTGAGAGACTGAGTTTGGAATTCCTGGCATGTCTGCCGAAGTCCATGCGAATACATCATTATTAGCTCGAAGAAAAGCTATTAGCTCTGCCCTTTCCTCTGGGTTCAATCTAGTTCCGATCTGTGTCTTTTAGCTCGGATCCCTGTCATCAATGAGTACTTCTTCAACATCTTCGACCGGGGCAGTTCTGGTTTCGTCTTCCGGCCGATTATCTACAATCTCAACACCCATAACTTGCTGATTGTCAGAAATTTGCTGGGGAATGGCCTCGGGTGTCTGAGCTTTGCCCTTCATGGGTTGTGTTACCGAGGTGATATAACAATGCCTGGCCACCTCCTGATTTCCTCGCAGTGTTGCTATTCCCATAGGAGTTGGGAACTTCATGCAGAGGTGAGACTGGGAAACCACAGCTCGGATTTCAGTCAATGTGGGTCGGCCAATAACAATGTTGAAAGAAGACGCCATCTTGACTACAAGGAACCGGACTGAAGGAGTCACATAGGTTTTGCCACTCCCAAAAGCCACATGGAGGGTAAGAACTCCTTCTACCGGAACAGGCTGGTTATTAAAACCATAGATAGGACCGTCATATTTCTGCAACAATGCTGGATCCAGTCCCAAACTCTCGAAACAGTGGAAGTACATGATGTCTGGTGCACTCCCGGTGTCAACAAGGACACGTTGTACTTCACAGTTTTTAATCATGACAGAAGTGACCAAGGGATCATTATGGGGTGTAACAACTGTATCGAGATCAGCAGATGTGAAAGTAATCGGTTGATTCTTCCACTCAGCGTCGTCAATCTTTTGCTTCTGAGCTCGGTTTTGGTGTTTAACCTCTCTGACATATAGCTTTCGCTGCTTAGAGCTCAGTCCGCCTGCTTCAAGGCCTCCCGTAATCATATGTATGATTCTAGCTGGTGGTGGGAGCGGAGGTGGGGTTTGCTGATATCCCACACCTTGCCTAGTTGGGGGATTGCGGACTCCTTGAGGCTGCGGCCTCTGTTCTCTGATAAACCTCGGCTGTTCAGTTCTCTGAACATACTAATTTAGCATTCCCTTCTGAGCTAAACTTTCCAGTTCGGACTTTAAGCTGTTGCACTGCTCTGTAGTATGGCCGTGATCTTGATGAAAATCACAATATTTGGTGTGGTCTCGACTAGCAGCAGCAGTTTTCAT